AGAGAGAGAGAGAGAGAGAGAGAGAGAGAGAGAGAGAAAACGGACTCCCTCCAGCCCTCTCTCGCCGCAGCAGCCCGGGGCTGGGGGAGAGGCGCTTCTCCCCGCCACAGCCCTGCATGCCCCCTACCTCTCCCCTCTCCAGTCCAGGCCCCTGCGGCTGCGTGCCTGCGCAGCCCTTGATAGCCTGCTGTGCGGCCATGCAGCTTAGAGGGAAATTAGGTCTTTAACAGCAGCAACGACATCTCCAGCCCATCATAACTAACTTATTCTCTTCTCCAAAAGGCCGGTTGTTATCATCTTTGATACCCTCTAAGAGACTGTCAAACAACGGGGGGCGGGGGTTCCTTCCCAAAACTCTCTCTAGCTAAAGGGAAAGGGGACGAAGGAGGTTGTTAAAATGGAAGCCTTACTTAATATTTTACATTTCAAATGCTTGAACTATTTTCCTTCTTTTCTGTATCTTTAATAGAAGGTTAAAAGGACTTTTAATGGTGAGTTTGCCCTGGTGCTAAGCAGTCTGACGTCTCTGCATACCAAGCCCCAAACCCTGTTAAACATTGGTTAATGCTGGACAGGGACAGTGGTATGTTAACACCTTTAGCCCATTTATTTCCCCTAAATTAATACAACAGGTCTCTGTGGTCACAATTCTGTTCCCTTTAGACAGCTGTCCACATCACAGCGGGCACTAATTGGCAACCTTCCTTTGATCAACTTGGCAAGGAGTCTGACCCTGAGAAGCGATCTCTGCAGGCCAGGGTTGAGCAGTGTCGCTTGTACCAGCCTGTCTCTACTTGCCCTCTGGGAAAATAGGGGACCCTCTGGATAAATCCAGTGATTTGATTATTCAGAAGGTCCCTCAGCAAGGGCAGCCTGAATGGCTTTGGACCCACCCTCTGTAAGTGGCTCAGAAGCTGCGCTCAGCTATGTCCCAGAAAAGGAACTGCCACATTTCCCTCGTCCCATCTGAAGCGGAGATGGGCATGAACTGAAACTCCAGCTCTAAACGCATCCGATCTTGAGGAAAGTTTGAATCCGGACCTGGGTCTGAGCTAGGAAGCTTCAGCCTGGCTCCGTAGTAAGTGTGGTTTAACTTTTACAGAAGCTGTTGCTGATGCTTAAGAGCAAATCGTGACCACCTGGAGTCTGTGTAGATCCTGCCAGAAGAATATCTCCAGGCTTTCATTCATCTGCAGTAAGCCAACATCTGGAAAATGATCCAAGCCGGAGACAGCGAAGAATACAGGTGACACTCTAGCTCTTCCTAAGAGTGTGATGCTGTTCACTGGTTGTGACCAAAGCAGGAGCTAGTGGAGACGTTTCTCTCCATTACACTCAGGCTTATCTTTGTGCCACCTACAGTCTACAGAACAGAGATAAGGATGTCAGAGAGGTCCATAGGAACGGAGTGGTGCCAGCTTTCCAAGTGATTTTTTTGGTAGAATTTTGCATGAAGGTATTTTTCTGATGTCACGGTTTTGCTCTATGTGCTACTTTGAGAAAATAAAGTCATGACAGTAAATACATACCCTTCCCATCCAAGGTTATCAATCTACTCTACAAACATAAATTAATTAAGCCTCATACCACCCCTGAGAGGTAGGTGATGGTATACACCCATTTTACACATGGGGAAACTGAGGCACTGAAAGATTAAGGGCTGGATTTAAAAAGATATTTAGGAGCCTAAGGTGAAAGATGGGTGCCTTGTGAGGTTTTGAAAAATGCCTAGGTATGTAACTCCCATTGATCTCAATGCAGGTTAAGCATCTTTCTTCATCTTTAGGTGTGTAAATGCCTTTAAAAATCTGGCTCTAAGTGACTTACCCAAGGTTGCGCTGTGGTAAAGCGAGGCAGAGAAACTCAGGTCCCCTGACTCCCAGTGCTGAGTGTTAACACAAGATCGTCCTTCCTTGAAATTTACTGATGCTATAACGTCGGTAAATATGTTACACTTAAAATTAGTCTCCATGCCAAGCAATGTGCTGGAAGTGTGCTTGAATGCAAGAGATAAAGATGATCCCAATGCATTATTGTAGCATCTAGAGGCCACAACTGAGATCAGGACTCCATTGTGCTAGGCGCTGTACGCACATATGGTAAGAGATGGTCCTTACCCCCAAAGAGTTTAGGTGTAATCAAAGGCAGACAGAAGCAAAGTGATTCTCCTAGTGTCACACAACCGGTTAGTGACAGAATTTGGATTAGAGCTAAGGTCTCCAGACTCTCAATCTATCGCCATATCCACTAGGCCACACTGCCTCTCAGTACAGCGTACACATGAGATAGCCTGGGTTCTAAGCTCCTTTGACCTTCCACCCCTACGAAAGACTTCACCAGGAGGCACATGAAGTAACCAGGGTCGGGAGATGGAGGGGGGGAAAATCAGTATGTCCCAGGAAAAACACCTCCAGCCAAGATGGCTACTAAAGAGAGAGCAACTTATTTTCCCTGCATTGTTCAGTAATGAGCGAGAGAACCCGCCAGGTTATAAAACTGAATTGATCTGACAATGCTGAGAGTGTAAAACAAACCGGAAGGAAAGCTGGAGGTGGGGGATGGAAGGTAGAGTGCACAGAGGTTCATGGCAAACACCATGGAAATGGCTCGGTGCGCAAGCAGCGGGAGTAATTAAAAGAAGGAGACAATGGGGCCTTGAAGAGACAGCAAAGGAAATTTATTACTGGGGAGGGAGGCACCACAAAGGGATGAAATAAATTTGTCACCTTGATATGTTCACAGAGAAGAGGATAGAGAGCAGATGCTGAGGAGAGAGAGAAATTCCCCCAAGAGTGAAGGGGGACAGAAGAGGAGGAAATATGGGAAGAAAATCTGAGGCTCACACTCCAACACAGGCGAGTAGGAAACTAGAGCATTTCGGACAAGGACAGGGGCAGTGCTAGTTTCCCTCACTCTTCTCCTCCCAAGGGAGGATCAGAGCAGTACGAGCAACACGGTGCCCAATGTTAGGGCACAAGAGATTTGGCTTTGGCTTCTCTGCTGAGCCTGCCAGCGAGTGCTGGGTAGCACCATTTGGCCCCATTGTTTTTGAAAAACATATAAGACATTGCAGAAGTTTAAGCCGGCAAGTGAAGCGGGAGGCCCAACTTTTGAATCTGGAGCTGTGAACACCCATGGATACATCCCAGGCCAGGGGTAGTCCCGAGAAGGGTGCAATTCATCAATTTTTCACACAACGTTTTCCCAGTGAAACAGAGTATCTGGCAAAAGACCTGTCTTGGTACGAAAAAACATATGTATAAAATTGGCCCAACTCTGAATCCCTCAGAGTCACCAGTTGCAATTACTGCTGAACAGCATGTGTCCATCTATCCTGTCATGGAAGCTTGGGGCCCAGTGTGTCCATCTACCCCGCCATGGGAGCTTGAGGAAGAGCTATCTTAGACTGAATTTCCCTCTTGTAAAGCTTTCCCTGTCATCTTTCACACACAGCACTCGGAGAATCATCTAACACAAAATGCCTCAGCTGGGAGAATAAACCTGTTGGATTTTTTTCCCCCAGACAGAAGATCAATAAGCGGGAACAGCTTGAAAAGTCAGTCCGGCTTCGGAGGGTCCCCAAGGAGGTAGCTGGAGACGTGTCATTGTAATGAAGGAATCACAAGAGGCACATAAGGATGTGTAGAGCCTATCCCTGCTCATTAGGGAGGGAAGCCGAGGCTTAGGGTAGGTCTATACTTACCCGCTGGTTCGGCCGCAAGCAATCAATCTTCTGGGATCGATTTATCGCGTCTTGTCTAGACGCGATAAATCGATCCCGGAAGTGCTCGCCCTCGACGCCGGTACTCCTGCTCCGCGAGAGGAGTACGCGCAGTCAACAGGGGAGCCTGCCTGCCGCGTGTGGATCCGCGGGAAGTACCTTGTATTTCGAACTAAGATACTTGGACTTCAGCGACGTTATTCACGTAGCTGAAGTTACGTATCTTAGTTCGAACTGAGGGGTTAGTGTGGACCAGCCCTTCGTAGCACCAGGACAGGAAATGCTAGACTGGAACAGCCTGATATCCTGTCTCCAGCAGTGGTCAATCCTGGGTACCGGAGGAGAGGGTTTAAAACTCCCAGAATTAACGACAATGACACACTATGGGGAGAAATGACTCCCTGTCACTCCCTGAAGCACGAGGGCCGATAACCCGGGAATTTTTTAGGCCAGCTAGTGTAACTACAAACAATTCCTCTTCTTAGGGGGGGAGGGATAGCTCAGTGGTTTGAGCATTGGCCTGCTAAACCCAGGGTTATGAGTTCAATCCTTGAAGGGGCCATTTGGGGATCTGGGGCAAAATTAGTACTGGGTCCTGCTAGTGAAGGCAGGGGGCTGGACACAATGACCTTTCAAGGTCCATTCCAGTTCTAGGAGATAGGATATCGCCATTTAAAAAAAAATTGAGATGCCAAGAACAAAATTAATCAAGGAACCAAAAGGACTTGAAAAGAAGAAATTCTTTAACTGCCTATCCACAAAGCTAGGTGCGTGGGTAAGAAACAAGAGGAGTTGGAATTGCTCATTATGAGTATAAATTTGATCAAGTTGGTATTACTGAAACCTGGGACGACATGACACCCATGACTGGAATTTTAAAATTAATGGTGATAACCCATTTAAGAAGGCTCAAGGGTAAAAGAGGTGGCACTCTGTGTCAAAAATGCCATTACCTTTTTCTGAGCCTCAGACAATGCAGAAGAAAGTGATCTGGAATGCTTACAGATCAATGTCCTAACAGATAAAGCAAAAGGTGGGATATTAGTTGGGATCTGCTATAGACCACCAACACCAGGGAAAAACCACAATCCCACAACCGAGAAAAAAGGCCATATTGGTTACAAAAAACTTGACCTGGTTTAGAGGGGAAGTGAAGGCAGCTACAAAAAATAAATAAATGGAAGAAAAGGAAAGTTGATAATAATGTCTATATATCAAAAGCTAGTGATTGAAGAAAATTGATAAGTGAAGCAAAGGGACACAAGGAAAAATATATGGCCAGCAGAGGTAAGGAAAAGAAGAATGTTTTTAAAGTATATTAGGAACAAAAAGATTCCATTACTAGATGGAAACCATAGCATTATCAATAATAATGCAGAAAAGGTAGAAATGTTTAATAAATATTTCTGTTCTGTATTTGGGAAAAACAGATGACAACATTTTTTCCATTTTAGCTTAGGATGATTTTAAACAGAATTCAAACTTTTTAGATGAGCAGGTCCAGATAACCTGCATCCAAAAGTTTTAAAAGAGTAGGCTGTAGAGCTCGCTGTACTATTAATGGTGAGTTTCAATAAGTCTTGGAACATGGAAGTTCCAGAAGATTGGAAGAAAACGAATGTAGTGCCAATATTTAAAAAGAATAAACGGGATGACATAGATCCCAAGCAAGATAATGGAGTAACTAATATAGGACTTGATTAATAAAGAATTAAAGGAGTGTAATATAATCAATGCCAGTCAATATAGGTTTATGGAAAATAAATCCTAGCAAACTAACTTGATATCTTTTTTGATGATATGACAAGTTGGTTGATAAAGGTAATAGTGTTGATGTAATAGACTTCTGTAAGGCATTTGACTTGATATTGCAAGACTATTGCAAGACCTTTTGATTAAAAAACTAGAAACATAAAATTAACATGGCACACCTTAAATGAGTTAAAAGGTGGCTAACAAATAGGTCTCAGAATTTAACTGTCAATAGGGAACCATCGTGACAAGTGGTTTCTAGTGGGGTCCACCGGGATCTGTTCTTATCCCTACGCTATTGATCAATGACCTGGAAAAAACAAAGCCATCACTGATGAAATTGGCTGATGACACAAAAATTGAGGGGGGGGGTAAATAATGAAGAGCACAGGTTACTGATTCATAGCTATCTGGATTGCTTGGTAAGCTGGACTCAAGCAAACAATATGTGTGGTAATACGGCTAAATGTAAATCTCTTACACAATGGGGGATGCTATGATTCTGAAATCGATTTGGGGGGGGGTGATGGATAATCAATCTGAACATGAGCTCCCAGTGTGGTGCTGTGGCTAAAAAGGCTAATGTGATCCTTTAATAATAGGGGAATCTCAAGTAGGAGTAGAGAGGTTATTTTATCTCTGTATTTGTCACTGGGGCGACCGTTGCTGGAATCCTGTATCCAGTTCTGGTGTCCACAATTCAAGAAGGATGTTGATAAATTGAAGAATAGATGAGTCAGAGAAGAGTCACAAGAATGATTAAAGGATTAGAAGACCTGATGTATAGTGATAAGCTAAATAGACTGAGCTCTTTGAGTCTAACAAAGAGAAGGTAGGTGGGTTACTTGAGTACAGTATATAAGTATCTACATGGGAAACAAATATTTAATAACGGGCTCTTCAATCTTGCCGAAAAAGGTATAACACGACCCAATGACTGCAAGCTGAAGCTAGATAGATGTAGACTAGAAATAAGGTGTATTTTTTTAGAGTGAGTAATCATTGGAACAACTTACCAGAGGTCATGGTGGATTCTCCATCACTGACAATTTAAAATCAAGATTGGATGTTTTTCGAAAAGATCTGCTGTAGGAATTATTTTGGAAATTCTATGGCCTCTGTCACAGAGGTCAGACTTAGATGACCACAATGGTCCCTTCTGGAAATAGTATGAATCTATGAATGTGTAATACTATATGGAGTTTCCAGAAATCAATACCTGTGAGAAGCATGTAGTGTCCATATTTACCTCTTCTTTAGGGAAGGACAGTGTAGGGACAGGGGTTGGAACAGGTTGACTGTGATCCAAAATATCAGGGTATTCTTCCTAATTCTGCCACTGACTCCCTTGGTGATCTTGAACTAGTTATTACATGCCTCAATTTACCCACTTGTAAAATGTACCTTCCTCAACGTGGGGATGGGGAGGGTTACTGAGAAAAGGAATGGTCTTGTATTTAAAATACGGGACCCAGGGACCTGGGTTAAATCCCTGGCTTTGCCACAGACTTCCTGTGTGTGACCTCTGGCAAATCCCTTAATCTACTTTTTGCCTCAATTCCCCACCTGTACAATGGATGTAATCATTCTCCACTGCTCCAACCCTTTAGCCCCAGTGCTGCAAAGATTTATGCATGTGCTTAATTTTCAGCATGTGAGTAGTACCATTCAGGCCAACAAGACTACTCAGGACTCTAGCGCAACCCTGAGGTATGGACAGGAATCCCTTGGGGAGATTCTCTGGCCACTTTTATGTTGGAGGTCAGACTACATGGTCTTTTGCAGTCTTAAAACCTGAGAATCTTTGCACAAGTCGAGCCTTTGTCTACGTGGTCTCTTTAGACTTTTGGTGGAGGGTCTCTCTTACTAGGAGTGTGTACCACACCTAACTTAATCTCGCTTGGGACATCTGGGGGCTACTGAAATAGAATAATTAATAGTATCATTTGGTTGTGGCAGCACCCTCACTGGATAGCAAGTTTAAAAATTAGTACCTTTCCTGAAATAGCTGTTTAATCTTATTTCAACCCAGCATGATTCGGTCACAGCCTCTTGACAGGTTTAACACAGAGACAAGTCAAGTTCCCCCACTGATTTTACTCTGCGTGAAAAAGAAGGAACATTTTAATTTACCCCATCCAGCCCAGTCCATCGTAAGCAATCAAGACAAGGAGACTGTATGAAGCGTCTTGCTAGGCTCCCGCAGGGCGCCATTAAGAACCATGGAGTAGTGCCTGCATCAGGAGGTCGACCGACCGGCCCTTTGCAAGCGGGATGCAAAGGCCTTTGATTCATTAGGAAAAAAGTGACAGCTCATCCATTTCCCTCTCCTCTTTACCTGCCTTACCAGAAGGCACGAGTCTCATTTTTTAAGTGAGCTTTCAAATGCAGGGAATGATTTTTCCTTCTTCTTCTTCAGGCTGGATTGCAGTGCAAGTAGATAAGCCTCGTGCCATTGCCTGGCGCCCTCTCTGTCACTCAATGCAAGGGGTGGTGCTGCAGGATGCCTTGCTTTTCATGTGTTCACCCCGTGGGCTGGGTTGAGGACCGAGGAGAAAATGAAGGGCAGACATGCCAGGAGAGGGAAGGAATTGCACACTGCAGTGCCTTTTAAGGAACCTACCTAGAGATGGAGGTGTTACTGATCAGAGGTAAGAGGAAGAGCGCAAGACCGGGGAAACTTTCTCAGCCCAATCCCACACCCACTCAGTGGATGTAGTAGGGACAAAAGATGCACAGGGAGGTCAACGCAATATAGACCACCTAGAGAGGGAGCATTGGGTTTCCATGGCTCAGCGCGGAGGGGGAGGGGAAAGCAGGGCTGCCCAATGGGTCCACGCACACAGCAGATGCACTGGGCCACAAATGGTGGGGGAGAGGATGCAACAGGCAATGCATGTTCCTCTTCCTGGGTGGCTGGAACAGTGGCTGTAGGGCAGCTGCGTGGGCACCCAGAGGGTGAGGATCCCTGCATACTGGCCCTTTAAACCTGTGTTCTGTCCGTTATGCATTGCCCGTGGCTTGTTCACACACCATACTCCAGGAAGCAGATTTCACCTCCCTGAACCAGTAGGGTAACTGCACCGGCAGGCGCGTTGACCCTAAATGAAGGGCAGGCATCTCTCCCCTCCCCCAGGGGTTCTGCCACAGGAAAGCGGTGAGCCTCCCCGCCCCCTGCTGGTGACGTGGTGACAGCTGTGTTTCTGTATAGCTTCACAGAGAGCCCACCATTGCCCTGGCCCTTTTCTGCCTCCCAGATGACACTGCAAACTCTGATCTAATTTGCTGCCTGCTACCACCCCTAGGTCCATTCTCAGAGCCGAAGTCTTGTCTTCAGAAACTGCGGTGTCCTTTTTGCAGCCTGCCCCCCAGTGAGGAACGATTTCAGTTGCTTCTTTGAGCAACATGTGGCATTTCTTCAGGTCGCTGGTCATCGAACGTTATTTCCGCCTGACAGCTGTCCAGTGGCTTTCACAAGACAAAGCATCCGTCTCAGTCCAGCGCCGTGTGGCCGTGTATCCACATCACAATAGCCAGCACAGCCCTGAGCCTTATTGTCGGCCTCTCCAGAGAAGCCCACGACTGAATGAGCCACGGAAAACACCATTCACCTCCTCAAGAACGCTGGCAGAGAGGTCTGGGTGGAGGAATCCTGATGCACTCCCCGGAGAAAGCTTACACGGCTGCTGCCACTTTTGGGCCAGTTTGGTGGAATAACTAAGGCCTTCAAGGCTGCCAGTCGAGTACTAATGTCACTTTAGCTCCAGTTATTCAGGAACAGCAAACAAAGCACAAGCAGTTTTGGTCACTGGGCTAGATCTTCAGCTTGTGTAAATCGGTGACACAAAAGAGCTCCATTAACTTAAACCAGCTGAGGTACCAACCCATGAAAATTGTAGAGAGTCTGTTAACAGTATTGACAGTGTGACCTCTCAGCTTTTATAAATAAATATAAATTAATGAAGATATCCTATCTCCTAGAACTGGAACTGGAAGGGACCTTGAAAGGTCATTGAGTCCAGCCCCCTGCCTTCACTAGCAGAACCAATTACTGATTTTGCCCCAGATCCCTAAGTGGCCTCCTCAAGGATTAAACTCACAACCCTAGGTTTAGCAGGCCAATGCTCAAACCACTGAGCTATCCCTCCCCCCAATGGTCCCACTTCACCCTCCACCTCCAGCCCCTCTGGATTTCGTCTCTGTGGCTGATTTTAATCACCAAGTTAAATTTTCCACCGGGTCAATCAAACATCAGCCTTCCTATCACAAACTAGAACTCCGTGCAATCAAAAGCGTCTTTCCCAGGAATGCTTTAAAAAGGTCCCTCTCCTGGAGGTGCGAGATTCAGACATCAAGGGGCACTTGCATATTAATGCACTACAATTATTGATCAATAAAATAGGTATTGCAATCGAACTGCTGGGTGTACAGACAAAGAGAAAGGAGAAGAGATATTACGAAATGTTTACATGTCTATTACACAGCTGCTAAACTTCAAACAACGTGTTTGTACTAATCAGTGTGGTGAAATAACAGCTGTCTTCTTAAGCGGACACTAAATGCGTGCTAGAGTGTTATCTGAAAAAGTTATTTCTTCTCTTGGGCTTGACTGCATAACTGACGTTGAAGACGGAGCAAATAAATAATGATGGGTTTTCACTACAAGTCATTCTTTTGCAGCGATTACACATTAATAACTCAAGCACACGGTATTTTCAAGAATTTCACGTATTAATCTCCCTTCCCCTCTTCCCCCCTGCATGAGGGCAAACGATAAACATGTTGCTTTTGTAATCCCATTGTGTCACCACTTATCGGCATCCCTGCAGCCAAAAAAAAAAAATTTAAAAAATGGATTGCTGGAAATGGGATCTCAACCTTAATGACACCATCAATAATTGCTGTCACTGCCTAATATCCATGTTGCAACCTTACAGGGAAGATAAAGAGACAGAGTTCTCCATAATGTGGCTTCCAGACAGTTCCCCAAAGTGATTTCTTAACGTGCTCTTAAAGACTACCTGCATATCCCATTGATGGGGAGTGACTAAAAGCCATCAGAGCAGGCAAGGATCACCGGGCTGTGATTTCCCCCAGACCATCACAGGTAAACAGTGTCAGACGCAGACACCAGAATAGAAAGCTAGGAATAAGAGCGCTCCCTGCAGCAGCTTACTCTGTTGGAATATTTCATTGAGCTACTGGGTTAGCCCAGATTGCTGCAGCTTCATGCATCAAATGGATCGAGTTATTCCCCTGACTCATCGATGCAAAACGTCCTGTGTCCGCTTTGGCCTTTCCCACGCCGAGGGTGTATTCTAAAGCACCGCAGAATAGTTACCGTACAGCTGAGACGGTCTAAACATTGTTAGCAGAATTTTTACCTACGGCGTCTTCTAAAAAGAGTCCATGCTATACATCTCCTTGGTCCTGACCCAATTTGTACCTGTGCCTGGATAATAATTATTATAATTATTATAATTCAGGATTTATAGTCCCCGAAACATAGTTGCATATTGTCCGGCAGGCTGGATGTGGCCAGGATCCTGGAAGAACTTGCTCCCGTATTAATGAAGTGAAGTAACCTGTTGGACTCCAAGGTCCTGGGAACTTTTGACTGATCCCCTAAAAGCCAACTTAGCACCATCGGTATGTATTTGTACAAGACCAGTGGCGGGTTCAGAACTTATAGCCAAGGCCCCTGCCCATAAGAACTTCCAACCCAGACGAGTTCTTCCCTCATCTGCGCAGTGGGAGCAATGCCAGTATTTTGCCCCTGATTCACAGTGGGTCCACTGAATGCATCCGCTCCTGGCATCTCATCACTAAAATGAACAAAAACTGCTCAAGTATTGTGTCCTACCATTTGTATTACAGCAAAGCCGACAGCTATGTCTCCACAGCCCAGAGCAACTAGCCTCCCAGCTCGGTCAACAGACTTGGGCTAGCACTGTAAAAATCACTGTGTAGCCAGGGGTCGGCAACCTTTCAGAAGTGGTGTGCCAAGTCTTCATTTATTCACTCTAATTTAAGGTTTCACATGCCAGTCATACATTTGAATGTTTTTAGAAGGTCTCTTTCTATAAGTCTATAATATAGAACTAAACTATTGTTGTATGTAAAGTAAATAAGGTTTTTAAAATATTTAAGAAGCTTCATTTAAAATTACATTAAAATGTAGAGCCCCCCGGACCGATGGCCAGGACCCAGGCAGCGTGAGTGCCACTGAAAATCAGCTCGTGTGCCGCCTTCAGTACGCGTGCCATAGGTTGCCTACCCCTGGTGTAGACAGTGCTTTAACGTTATGGCTGGGACTCTGAAACCCATCCCGCCCTAGGCTTCAGAGTCTGAGCTCCAGCCCGAGGTACAGCTCCTAAGTGCTGTCTACAGAGTTATTTTCTGAGGTCTAGCGTCTGTCGACCTGGGCTGCAAGGCTCACTGCTGCAGGCTCTGTAGAATATACCTCCTCGGGCCTGGTCGAGGTCAGAGCCCCGCTGCACTGGGTGCTGGAAGAACACAGAATAAGAGACCATCTCTGCCTTGAGGAAGCGAGGTGAAGGTGGAGGAAAGGAAGTGTTATTAGCCCCATTTATTACAGGTAAGAAGTTGAGGCACAGAAAGGCTAAGGCCCAGATTTTGAAATGTATTTAGACATTGCTGTGTTCAGCGTCTCAAGGCCTATCTGATCTAGGAGCCTTAGTTTAATTTCCAAAAGGGATTAATCCTAAATCCCACTGACTGTCAATAGGAGATAGGCGCCTAAGTGCCTAAATCCCTTTGGAAAAGGAGACTTCGGCTCCTAAATCAGGTGTTGCTGCACTCAGCCTTGAAACAACATTTCTGAATCAGGCACTGCAACACTGAGCGCAGCAACACTTTAAATACCTTTAACAACCTGGGCCTAGATGACTTGCCCCAGGTCACACAGGGAGCCTATGGCAGACCTGGGAAATGAGCCCAGACCTCCTGAGTGCCAGGCCAGTGCCTCACCCCTAAGACTATCCTCCTTCTCCAACCTGTAAGACAATGTTGAGGAGCAGTTGTATTGATTCCAAACTGCTGTCCCGTCTGTCTATGGACATAACCGCAAATGGGCTTTTGTTTGCACGGATGTTTAGAAAGCAGCTGCTCTTCCTACCACACCCCGTATTCTCCGGAGAGCAAGCCGCTTTGCGCACCAACCACAGAACCCACCAGTCACTATCCTCCTATTTAATTAGCATCGGCCCTGTCATCAGAGAGCAGAAACAATAGTGACTGCTAACATGTCTAGGGCTCTCGGGTGACAGCTCCATTGCCTTGAGTTGTATTGAAGGCAACCAAGCAGCCTAGGGTAACTGACCACCCAATACTTCACTCAGATAAAGTAAAGGGTGTAAACTGTTCTCCTTTAATTTCGCATGTTCATGTTTCCAGAAAATAAGTGTCTGAAAGGGAGGAAGTTCCCTGTTAAATTTCCTATACCAGCCTCTCACTTACCAAGCCCCTTTCCTGAAAGGAGCTGAAAGCACCTTACTGACATTAATTCACTAAGACTCCCAATCTGCCTGGGAGAGAGGCAAATATTATTACAGCTGGGAACAGAAGCCAGAAATCCTGACTCCCTGTGCCCTGCTCTAACCATTAGACCGCACCATCTCCTTCCACACACACTCTTGATTTTGCACCAGCACTGGATAAACTCTTGGGTGGGATATCATGGAATGAGAGACCCTTTCTCAGAGCTGCAGATTGAGGCCTGGCCTACCCTGAAAAATTAGATCGGCCTAGCTACATCGCTCTGGTCTGTGAAAAATTTGCACCCTGAATGCTGCGGTTAGGTAAACCTAACCCCCAGTGTAGGTACGGTTAGGTCAATGCAAGAATTCCTCCATTAACCTAGCTACCACCTCTCAGAGAGATGGCTTAACGACATCAACAGAAAACCCATTTCCGTCATTGTAGGAAGCATCTATATACTATGACACTACAGCAGCTGTGTCACTGTGTCATCTGTAATGTAGACGTGCCCTCAAAAGTCACTCCCTTGGGGAATTGAGGTCTGAGGGTCCTGATGTGTCACCATGCACAGTTGTCACCGGTATGGCCCAATTCATCCAGATCACACTCAGCAAACACATTGCACTCTCGATGCACTGTCCTCTCCTGAGTCGCATGAGCAAGACCTATCTTCCCACATACACAGGAAAAAGGGGAGGGAAAAAACGCAGTCCAGATAAGCATGGCACACTTTCAAGGATTCCTTTGCTCATGTATACACAAGGTAAAGCGTCCCACACAGTGTTAACCCCACCACGGCTGCGAATTTCTAATGCAAATCAGCCATCGAGCAATATTTGTATTACAATTACGACTTGGAAGAACTTGTTTCATATCAGAAGACTTAGTGAAGCAGATGAATAGCTTCAACATGATATCCATGGGATAGAAATTCAATTAAAAACTGCAAGTGGCACAGGAGTGGTAGTTATTGTTCAACAGATACCACGGGGCCTTTGCTGCAATACCGCCATTAGCGGCGCTGGTTGAAAAATTCTGTTTTCCTTTATGGCAATCTGTTAGCTTGTATAAAAGTTCAATTAATAAAAACACAGAGCTGTTCTCGCACTCAGGGAACATAATGAAGCCAAGGGCTAGTTGCATATTTTATAATTATGGATTGAGTGCGTGGTGCAGCGGAAATTAGAGAGATGCCACAATCATCATAAAAATGAAAGATCGCTCTCCGGTAAACGCTGAGGGCGCAACTACTGCATCCAAAACGCAGTGCCTGGACCACGCCTAGCCCTCATCACTGCTCTGTGGGACGTTTAAAACTATTCCGAATGCCGTGAGCTAAATCCACGCTGGTGTAAGCCTTTGCTAGAGATGCACCGGCATGGAAGGGACACCAGGGGAAGAGGTTGCAGCAGCACGAAGCAGTCGTGACCTCTCTCTACGGCCATGGAGGTTGCTGCTGACCCAAAAGTGGGTAGTGCTGATGGGGGGGGGGGGGAAAGAGGCCTGTCAGGGAGTGTGGCTGGGAGTGGAATAGGTTGATTTCATCACACCCGCCC